GTTGTTGTTGTTGTTGTTGTTGTTGTTGTTGTTGTTGTTGTTGTTGTTGTTGTTGTTGTTGTTGTTGTTGTTGTTGTCGTTGTTGTTGTCGTTGTTGTTGCTATATCATGATTTGAGCAGATTTACAACTCTATCGCTAAAGCCGAGATTCATTACAGTTACAAAATAACATAAACTATACTGGCCGATTCCGTATCTCAAATAGCTCAAAATTAATGTCCATTACTCAATCATGGTTACTGAGTTTACCGAAATTACTGTGGGAATTGAAAACGGGCTCGCTTGAGGCCACTGAGGTATTAAACAGCACATAAAGTTTCGAATTTGATAAATGAATGCTAATGATTCTTTTTATTTTTTTATTAGGAAATACTTGCAATCACTCTGGACATTACAAAAGGAAGAGTAAAAGGAATAGTCGATGACGAGGTATTGTGTAATGTTCTGCTCTAATATTATATTTGCGTAATTAGGATGTAATACTACTAAGTTATATTATGACTTGCTAATGTTTTGATAATTTAATAGATTTTGAAACAGTTACAAACCGCTTTAGTTCCATTTCTTTTCGTCACGCTGCCTAACAAAGGTTTGTATAACGGAAATCAAGTGTTGGTATTTTTTTTTATTTACAATACTTGTCTATGTATCTATTCATCTAATTCCGCGTCCATCTCCCTCCAACGATAAATACACCTGCACATATTTTATAGGTCCCGTGTTTGGCCCATTCATGTATTTGCCGCAGGACATCCAACGAACAACCATAGAAATCATTTACTATTTCCCATTATTAAATGACAAGATGATGGTTGCATTAGAACAAGTGTTAAAGAGAGAGGAGGTAAATGAGCACGTCAAAATATATGCCGCAAATATCCTCAAGAAATTTCATAAAAGCCATGTACATACTTGAATAGAATCTGCTGCTATGTATTTCATGTCTTGTAAACTCGTCAGAAAATACAACGATGCACATGATTAGACCACGCGTGAGTTGTGATCTCTAATCATAGTATCCGTAAACCTTCAATCCTCTATATTTTCTCCCGTCAATGTCACTCGAAAACTCGTCTCCAGCATACGCAAGCAGATAACCATTGGGATGCCACGATACCGAATTCGTAGCTGCACCACAAGGCAATCGATATATAGTATCTCCAGTATCTACTTCCGAAATCACAATCTGTTGATCTTCAGATGCCGAGGCAATGTATTTTCCATCATGCGTGAAGCTCAATGTTCGCACAGGTGTCTTGGTGATGGACGAACGTACTTTGCCTACGACTTCGTATCCAGGGAACGCTCTAATCATGTACCAATAAGACAGATCCCATAAACCAACAAGAGCATCTGCCGCGCCAGTTGCTAGATACCTTAGCTTGGGATCGTACTCAAGACAGTAGCAGCTTGCAGTATGACCTCTTAAAGTATGTACCACGTTCAGTGATGGCCAACGCAAGACTCTGATGGCACCAGTGCCAGTTGTCAAATAAAACAAATTACAATTATGATCCCAGGTCATTTCATTGAATTCTATCTTCTTGTCGTCTTTCTTTTCGTAATAAGTGTTTACTATCTTGTAAGTGCGTGTGTCGATAAAAGAAATAATGTTATCTTTATCCCCTATTGCAACAGTACTACCATCTTTGCTCCAAGATATATTTATATTCTGACCTTGTGTTTCAACAGCATGTTTACACACACTGGAAGGATCTACCCTAACATCCCAAAAACGCACCGTTCGATCTTCAGAGGCTGTTGCTAAGACACTAGGATTCATTGGATTCCAACAAAGCTGATCAACACTATCCCTATGACCTTCCAATTTCCAACTTTCTGTTATATCTTCTTCGGCGGTCCACCAGATCCTGACTGTTGTATCAACAGAGCCACTAGCTAAAAAGCGTCCATCGCTGCTCCAGGCTACTGTTCGAACAGTCTGTGTGTGACCGTATAACACCTTTTCTCTACAAATACCGAAATAGTCTGCTGGTTTTTCACGCTCTGAAGGTCCTTTTGGTGTTTGCATTATAATATCTACTATTACCACCAAGTAACTACCAACTACTAATTAATTCAGAGTTAATGCGTAAAGTATATAATAATAAGGCAAAGAGCGTGCTATTATTATTATTATTATTATTATTATTATCGTTATAGCAAAACAGTTGCTATTCGTAAAAAAAAAAACAAGCGAATGAATGCACCGTACATCAGATGTTTGTACATGTACCATCTACGCACATCATGCGACCCTTGCGTTCGTTTTTGTTGCCCCATCATAAGTTATGTAAATCATGGGTCGATCTAAATTAAAATGTTTCCAATGTTAAAATATTAAATGCTAATCATGTCTTCATAATTCATGTGATTTCATGAAAACGTAAATATACCCAGAGTTCTCCCTCACCATCAAAACTTTTCAAATTATCAGAGATTTGCCTTGTTTCACCTTTGATTTATTAGCCAACCGCACCCCACGTAAAATCACACTCATTTTAGTAGGGTTTTCCCACCTGATAATATAAATATGGGATGTTGCGGAAGTAAACCGGATGATGATGAGTCAAAGGTTAACAATTCTCTCTTTAATGCTCGTTATTAGTACAAAGAAGTGTATAGAGACTGGTTACTTTTATTTAGCGCATTAGATTTTCTTTCCTTTCTTGGTTTCTACCTTTTTGTTTTGTTTTCGTGTATATAAAACTTGGGTTTGTTACAAACAAGGAAGTAACTTGACGGTATGGGTACGAAAATTTCAACTATATTACAGCCGAACGAGCAAACTAGTCTTCTCAGAGGGGACAGCCAACCCAATCCATATGAGCCATTGTAAGTCCAGTGCACTAGTTTAAGCAAACCGTGGCGTGGCAAAGAACGACGGTTTGTTGGCGTATTTTAATGCTAACTTTTATTGTCTTGTTTTGCGCAGTCACCCTAGAGTAAAGCAACAACATTACGACCCGGCAATCGAACAGGAACGAGAAGAGCGTTTATTACAAAATATAGTCCAACAAACGGAAGAGTTAGTATAAAATACCGTTAATGCCTTTAATCCGCCCATATCTCCGGGCTCTTTGTTCCGTCGAATATATCTTGCATCACGTGACTTACAAACTTTATTTCGTTAGAAATTTGATTGTTATATCCAACGCTAGGCCGGAACGGTTACCACCGCAAGATGCCATTGATCGCGCCAACGAATACAAGTAAGTCTTTGAAGCCAATTTTAAAGATTTGCTGATGCTAGCTACTGACAAGCATATCCAACCATCACAACCAGGGAGCTGTTAAGCACCGTTAAACTTGATAATGATGCTTTGCAACAACTACACGAAAAAATAAACACACTTACAAGACATCATAGACTATCAACAATAACAACGGACGAGACGACAGAAACTCAAAAAACCCCTTTTGAGATTTTGAGCGAAAATTCGATTACAAAGGAAGAGATTGACTTGGTGTGTTTTTTATTGGTTATCATGTGTTTAGACTTGTCAACAGTATTTAATGCTAATATAACACTTGTTCATGACTTTTAGTTGTCCGAAGCATTAGATGAAGCTAACGCAGCAATGCAGCACTTTGAGATTGAATACGTGAGTGATCTAGTGGTACCGCTGTCATGGGTATCATCCACTCCCGTTCACTAAATACAATGCACTCCTTAAATTAAACGTTTGAACAATCGTTTTGGCTATAAAATGATGGCAAACTACATACTGAGTAAAACTAGTAGAGCAAATTTTTGTCATGACATCCAATAAAAGTACTAAAAAGATATTACTTGTAAATCGATTGCATTCCAAATCACAAATCAACGCAATTCCCATTTTGACATAAAATATTAGGGCGTCAGTGAATCTGAGTATCTCCACAATTAGTTAAACTGTAATGAGCGTTCATTTTCTACAAGTCATCCTGACAGCATCTTTAATTATGAATCGATTGTATAATGTTTTGCCTCGTGCTCCGTACATCCCTCTCTTTTTAAACAAAACTGTCTTATCAATACAGAAATTGCTCATTCCTCATGAGGTTTTTCTCCTGATCTGACAATTTTTAGTCCTTCTTCAATACACTCTCCAAACTTTTCTATATCCAAGACACCATTTTCATCAAACCATGCGCCAAAGGATTTTTCAATTGTATATTTGGCATTACCAACAAACTGTGCAGTTACAGCAGCCGAGGATTGAGTGCTGCGAGTTGTGTTGGTCGATGATTCAAAGGTTATGTAATAAATATCAGAGTATTTCTTTGTTTGTGTGTGGATTGTTAATTTGTGAGTCTAATATTAGAAATAAACAGTATAGAATAGTTCAGGCGAAATTGGCGACAGTGAATGACGAGACAAGGACACACCCGGACATTGTCAACAGAAAAATCAGTAAAACTCCAATCAAAATACCTTCTCTCCTTGTGATGGAACGCCTATAAATATAATATCACGCTCAATAAGTAACGCATGAAGCGCTAAGACTATATTAATGAAGACATAGCTACACATGACCGATGATTGCATTTCAGCGAGTTAAAAAATAATAAACATCAATCGGAAATATAAATCAACGCCAGCCTTCTTCACAAAAAGGATACGCAACAACGCAGATAAGAGTCAACTGTTTAGACTCTTCAAACGGAATATAGTATGTATATCCACCGCCACCCAATGCAAAGACACATGATAAATACCCAAGGACCAACTTCACGTCGGTATGAGTATGGTACTGTCTGTAATTCGCTTTTTTTGTCAAATACTTTATAAAATGCAACATGGATCGAGATACAAAATCAGTACTAGACAGCAGAGTTTGCTAATCACATTAAATAACACAAGAGACATCACACCCATGCGCGACAGACTAGAGACTGACTTTCTGGATATAATCATCACAAGCATTTTTCAAATCACTTTGATTCCACTTCTCAACGCAAATGACTTCTTCTTCTTCATCTTTCTTATCTGTGCCGTTATAAAAAATAAGTCTTAGCGTTCCCTCTTTCCGTAATCGTACTAATTATGTTTCATTATCAAACGTATCACTCATTTTCTACAAACAAGTCCGAACCATTCTCGTTCTTCTCGTCCTTTGGAGTCGGTTGATCCTGTAATCGAGTACTTGATGACATTTTCGAGTGGGAATGTGTTGTATTCAGATGGGATGAAATTTGGTATAAACGTCATTAACAATATACTATTTTGTATAACGGTCCTGTGATCTCGTTAGTACCTCCTTTACCATATTTAGTAGTACGTACTTT